GTTTCATTACAAAATGGATATTTTTGTTTTTTAAATTTTTCAAGTTCTTGAAGAATAGTTGTTGAATCTTTTTTAAACCAAGATTTATAATAATATGTTAACCAACGACCAATATGTGAATATGTTAAGTTTTTAATAGTAGAAGAAAACATTTCTAATCGATATTTTAGATGAAGAGCTAAAGAAAGTATTAATAATGGTTATTCCCAGCCAGCCCAACGTAATTCAAGACGTTTAATCATTTGATTACGAAAATAAATTAGTGTTTATTATTTCATTATATTCATAATATAACCAAAAGAGAGTGTTACTTGATAAAGACGCGCCTTGTCTTATTGCATAATATTTAAAATTTCACAATAAGGATGTAAAAGAGTTGTAAGTTTTTCTAAATTTGTCCAAAAAGCAATATTATTAATAAAAGTAGAAATATCAAATGGTAAACGAAGTTCTTCTTCATTAGCATGAAAATTAACTGTTACTAATGTCTAAAAAATATTTATAAATTAATAAATTATTTTAAAATAAAAAATATAAATAAATAAATGATAACCTACGATAAGTGCATCTTTTGTCTTTAAAAGAGAATTAAAAGCATTAAAATAACTATTCCAACGTGTTAAACATGGGCTTATAAGAGCAATAAATTTTTTATAAAGCTTTAATTGTTCATTGCGAAGCTTTTGAGTAAAATAAACTGATGAATGAAAAAAACCAATAAGTCAGATGGCGCGATTGGAAGTAGTTTTAAATATTTGAGATTCTTTAAAAATTTCTCCAACACAACAATTAGCGTGATGTGCAAAACATGGTAAAAATACTATTTTGCGATAAATAAGTTTTATTTGATGCCTATTAATAAATAACATTTAATTAAAATTTATAAAAAAATTAAATTTGTTTTAATAAAAATTTATAAAATACCTAGCAGATGCATAACTTCCAGCAGAATCTGTCACTAATGCATTTATTTGAATATTTTATGATATTGCTTTATCAATAAGTAATTCTATTCATTTAATTACTTCTTCTGCGCGTTAACACAGGTCGAATGATGTCAAATAGGAGACCAATCAAAAGAAATCTGGGTCTCCGAATTTCTTCTGATTGGTCCCCTATTTTTTATTATTGGTATTCAATAGGGAAACCCGATTAGTGTCATAAAATGACGCAAGAAGAGTACACTAAGGTTTCAATCAGGTATAAAATTTAGAATCAAATAGGATACCTATCAGTAATATATCAGATATCAATAGGAATGTCTATTTTATGCCTAATATATTAACATTTATCTAATTGTAATTTACTGATTTATAACTTTTAATTTAATATATATTTCCGATTTATATAAAATTGTTTTTTCGCATTGTTAAATATTGATATTTATTTGTATTACGCAATATAGCTAATAAAATTACAACACAAAGAAAATTTATACATTACTAAACTATGCTAATAGTTCTCATAACTATTATACTCTCCTGATACCAGGCTCCTAGATCTTTGGAATCTTTTTTCTTCGTTGTCAACATTATCATCCTCCTCCTCATCTTTCTCCTCATTTCTCTCCTCATCCTCTTTATCTCCCTTCTCATCTTCCGCTTCATTAATATAAATGTTATCATCAACATCTTTTTCTCTGATATTATTATTCCTAAAAGGAGATGGAGAGTAGTGAATACTAATATATCTCTCTGCAAATGATTTCAGAGATCTATTATATCCGTTTCTTATTCAACTAGGAGTATTAACGGGTGCTTCTTCTTCATCAGGTGTGAATTTATCATTACTATATACCCGTTTTCTTGTTCTACGTGCCGGGTTAAAGTCATTATCTATAAATTCTCGCAAAAAGATGCGTAACTAAAAAAAGCCCAATTTAGTATATTCTAATTTTAAAAAATCAACTGTATAAACTTACTGTTGAAGATCTCCATTTAAGATCTCGGATGATGATCTTTCGCTTATTAGGATTTTCATCATCTGTTTCTGATACTTCCAGACTATGATATTTATTGTCAGTCCAGATCTATCGAAGTTCATCGTTATAAAGTTTTTCTATCAAAGGATTTTTCAATTTTATGAATTTGTTGATTGTTTTCATCCAGCGCTCCCATTTCTAAATATATCAGGAATTTTTTATTAATAAAGCATAAAACAAAACCTTTTTTTTTATTCACTTCAGTACGTCATGAATTAGCATATTTTCTTCTTTTCTTGATATCATTCCAAAGTGTACCTCTCTTATTATTTAAAAAGTTTTCTCTTTAGTGACGATGTCGCTCATGAATTATGTGTCTAATTATACCATCAACTACTGGGAATGCCTTCCTATCAATTGCCTTTTGTATAACTGGAATTATATGATTATTAACAGACTCTCGCTGACTTTTGAAAGTTTTGTTAACGTCCAGTTTTTTATTCTCTGGGAGTCTATCCATAATCCTGATTATTTCATTCTAAACATAAGAATAAATATTAGTTAGTAACAATTTAGAAATGAAACAAATTAAAATAAAATACGTCATTACTCTTAATGCATTTCTCAGATTCTTGTTTATGTCTTCGTAAAAAAGATATGAAGAGTTAGGTGAATGGAGACGTGAAGAGGAAGATAATCTATTGGGCTTGTTTTGGCCTTGATTAAAATGATTTTTTCTAGATTTAGAACGTTGCTCTCTTTGTTGTGATATTTTTAATTGTTTAGGAATGGACTTCTTTGTGGCTGTCATCTTATTTTATTTTATCCGGCTTCTACTTTTTCTATTGTTTCTTCTATTATCACATCAGCCTTCTACTTCTGCTATCACATCAGCTTCTACTTCTGCTATCATATCAGCTTCTACTTCTGCTATCACATCGGCTTCTACTTCTGCTATCGTATCAGCTTCTACTTCTTCCATTATCATCCCATTCAGAAGCAGAATCTAAAAGAATTATTTTTGACTTTCCAATGCTTTTAGATACCTTTTTAGACGATTCTACACTCTTTGAAGAACCTGCCCGTCCATATTCAACATTTTTTAAAGGACTGGCCTGTTCTTCTAAATTATTCTCAAGACTTATGTTAGATTCATTTTGCTTTTCTAATACCTTCATAAGAACATCTTGTATACCATCTAACTGCGCCAGTAAAGCGGTTACTAAATTAAAAAATTCCTTATTGAGAAATTAACGCAAATCAATTGATATGAAATAACAATGCATATATATAATGTATATATAAATAAATATGTCTCGATCGTCTTTATCTGTATCTTGGGTCACCATGTCAATCAAATTAGGAATTTGTCTCTTTTGGTATTTTCGATTATCTTCATGAACTCCTTTTGGTTTAGGATCGCTAGATATCAATAAATAGCAAATTAAAATATTAGTTGAAGACCATACCGATTTAAAACTAAACTTACTGTTTGTTGCTACTTTTTTGCTTTTCAAAGGGGTGCTTATTTTTGAGGGATGCTTATTTTCGAGAATATACGATAATTAGATTCTATTAGTTTTTCATTAATAAAATGATATGTTTTACTATGGCAATTTTATTATGTTTCATTTGTCTATTTCACGTCTTGTTTGTTCATCATTGTCAAAAAGAGAACGTTTAATAGATTTCTTACTGTTTATTATTAATTTCTTACTACTGGTCATATAAATATTCGCAAACTGGAGAAGAAGTTTAACAAAAAAAATTATAAAACATAGAACGCGTGATTCTTTTATATGTTTTGTATAGATAAACTTTCTGATAGTTTGTAAATGAAATTTAACGAAAAAAATTCTAAAATATAGAACGCGTGATATTTTTACATTTTGTATATATAAACTTTCTGATAGTTTGTATTTTAAAAAGAAAGTAAATAAATTACTGAAAAATTTTATACATTCAATAACATACACATTTTATTTGTTAAAAATGCCAAGGCAAAAGAAAACACGCATTAATAAAGATCATTTGAAAGTTACTAATATTAAACCTAGAACTAGAAATTTAATTGAGTGTAAATGCTTATTGCATTGTAATGGTAGTAAGTGGGTGGATTCTAGAACATTTGAGAGACACAAGAAATAAATGGAACGGCTTCGAGTCATTGCTTCTGAATCTCAGAGTTCTCAATCAACAAATTCCAGAAGCAAACTGATAAATATAGAGTTACCATCAATTAAAGAAAAAGAAAAAAAAATAGTGGTTAAAGCGGTTGAAGAAGATCGAAATTCACTAAATAATTCTTTCAGTGATAGTGAATCAATTTCAGGTAATAACAAACCAATCATACTAAAGAAATGAAAATGCTATAATAAGTTTCGTGATGCAATTTTTGATGGTCAATATGATAAATCAGAACAAGTTCCAATAGAAGAAAGTTCTGATAAAGAATGTTTTGAGATACCACCAGGTGATGAAGAAAGTTCTTCTACTAATGATGATATTTGAGATTTAAGCGAAGATGATCTTTTGTTCGAGCAATTTACCATTCCTGATCTGGATGATCTTGAATTTGAACCAGATCACGAATATCCTGGCACTAACATTAATTTTGATGATTCGTGAATACTATTGTGGATATTCAAATATCAAGCAAGAATTCGCCTTTCAGATGTTACCATCAATTCACTTATTAAATTTTTCAGGATAGTTTTATTGGATATTGATCAGCTGCGATTTGAAAAATTTCCTACAAGTTCATATATGACAAGAAAATTTTTAGGAATCGGCAAACAAGAAGTGACATTTGCTGTGTGTCCAAGCTGTAATACGTTATATAAAGTTACAGAAATTTTGCCTACTGGGCATAAATGCACGCATGTGGAATACCCAAATCATTCAATGCGCAATCAAAGACGACCCTGTGGAACAGAATTAACAAATAAGATTCTGGTAAATAATGGATTTGTCAGAAGACCGAAGATGTTATTCCCTATACCATCTTTAAAAATGCAAATAATGACGATGTATCAGCGCTCAGGTTTCAAAGAATTACTACAAAAATGGACAAATCGGATTACCGAAATGGGTTTATTTGCAGATATTTATGATGGAGAAGTATGGAAAACCTTTTCATTATCCATTGATAACCCAGATTCTCAATTTTTCCAACACAAAACTGCCAGTTTGCATCTCGGGATTATGCTGAACCTCAACTGGTTTCAGCCATTTGAATCTTTGCCTTACAGTTCAGGTGCTATCTATGGAGTAATATGTAACCTTCTCTGTGAAGTTAGATTCAAACGGGAAAATATGATATACCTTGGGCTCTTACCGGGACTAGATGAAGTAAAACTTCATAAAATTAATCATTATCTTAATCCAATTATTAATGAATTGTTAGAGTTCTGAAATGAGGTAGATTTGCCTCAAACCAACGCGCATTTAACAGGAAAAAGAATCCAAATAGCAGTAATTTGCTGCTCAAATGATATTCCAGCTGCAAGAAAGTTATGCGGCCACATTTTGGCATTGATCAGTTATTATCGATGCTACAAAATAGCCAATACTGAAGGAAAGCTTAACTTCAGTGGATTTGATGATATGAACGATTGGTTCATCTAAAAAGATTTGGATGAACATAGACGGAATGCTGAAGAATAGAGGCATTGTAAATCAAAAGATGAAAGGAAGCGTTATGTTTCTACAAAATTTGTTTGATGGTCTGAAATGCTAAGATTGCCTTACTTTAATCCAATAAGGCACTTAATAGTTGACCCTATGCACTGCCTCTTCTTGGGAATAGTGCGTTGGATAGTAAAGAGATTGTGGATTAATGGCGGCAAATTAAGTAAAGCTGATCTTGAAAGAATGGAGAAACGTGCAAAAACTATAAAGATTCCCGTTGATTTAGGCTAAATTCCGTATAAAATGGCAACAGGTGAAGGGTTTTCTGGATTTACGGCTGATTAATGGAAAACTTTTATTCTGGTATATGCAACTCCGTTAATGTGGGATCTTTTGGGTATTCCTGATCGGAAAATTCTAGCCAATTTTATTAGAGCTTGTTCATTGCTCGTATGTTGAACAATTGATGATAACGTATTGAATGAAGCTCATTTTCAACTATTATCTGTGGCCTGTTTAATTAAAGAGAATTATAGACTGGAGGTGATAACACCAAATATTCACCTTTCACTCTATCTTGCAGAATGCTGCCAGGACTATAGTCCTTTATACTCATTTTGGTGTTATTCATTCGAAAGGATGAATGGAGTTCTAGGTAAGATTTTACATTATTGTTATCAAGCAATGAAAAATAAATAAAATATTATACTTTCTTGTTTAGGTTCTCTTCCGAATAGTAATTGACAAATTGAGTCAGAATTGCTGCGAATCATCATACAAAATTGTCGTTTAGATGATTTAATATCCTCAAGATTGGATAATGAAAAATTAATTAATGCATTATCATTAATTCAACCTTAATCGATAACTGGGAGTTTAACATCTTATGATGGGTTCGATTCTGCTGAACTCTACCAGTTCATGCAAATGTTCTATCAAAAGGTTGATGAGACTATTACTGGTAATGAAAAATTTCCTGGAGAAATGCTTGCTCCAAAAAAAAGTAAGGTATCATTACCAGATAATATATACAAACTTCTGGTAAAATATTACAATGATTCATACAATTGGGATTTCGTATCAATTGCTGAATTTGATCTATCAAATGAACAAATTGTTGTATTACCAACCATTAATCAATTTGGCCGTGTTCAGATTGCTGCTGAAATATTTGGATCTACGCTTGCACCTAAATATCAAAGAAGTTCGAATATTTTAGCCAAATTTATACAAGATAATGAAACTATTAACACTTATCCCAGTCAAGTACAGTTTTATTTTGAGCATACCATTCAGCTTCCAATTGGTACCAAAACGCATCGACTTGCATTTGTTAAATGGCACTTGTTTGCACCAAATCAGCAAACAAGATTTTATTACAGAATTGATGATCATGATGACAGAAGCTGTAATATTGAATTATGGAAGTATGACTTTTATGAATTATCAAGAGATGCTATTATGCCAATTCATAATATATATAGGCGATTTTTATCCTGTAAATCTATAATAGGTGTTCGAAATCCAACTACTTACATGGCAGTCATTCCGATTAATAGACAGTTTCATTTATAATAATAAATAAATTAATCGTGATAATTTACAAATAAATTAAAATCTTTTT